TTGTAGATCCAAAGAGGAATTTTTAAAAAAGGAGGAATGAAGAGCTTCATCAGAGAGCTAAGCAAAACATTAAAAAATATTAAAATCATATGCTAAGGTAACATATACATATGAGAAGACATGAAGGTTTAGAAGTTTCATGTTGAAGCTGGTCTAAAAATGTTTCATGAAGTCCTTTTTTTCTGGATTATACTGCTGCGGACAAAAGCTTAGACATGAAATTAGTTAAAAAAAAAAAAAAAATTAATCCAGTTTTCTCTTTCTGTAGACCTTTCTTACGCTAAGCATCCCAGAGATCCCAATAAATTCTTGCTGGCTCCAGAAGAACAGTGTGTCACATTAACACATTCTGCTTTATTAGGATTAATTCTGGGGTCCAATTTAAAAACAAACAAACAAACAAACCCTGCAACTAAACAAGATACCTTCTGTATAAGCTGAAGAAATTCATAGAAGAGTTCAGGGCAGAAATAGCTATATAATTAATTTCTGTCCATCCATTTATCCAAATAACACCCATATTGACAGCTTCTTCTAGTGTGAAATTTTAGATACAGAAAATCATGGAATCTCAAAGCAGCCTTTTTGCAGCTCTGGAGATACTTTTTCCACTGAAATGACAGTAAAACTAGGTGGGTGGCTTAAATTCACTTTAGGATTTAATGGCTTATAAAACCAAAATCCCACTGTCACAGCTTCTTTGAAGCAGATTTTGTAGTATTTGAGAGACAAAGCCTCACTTTAGAATTGTCTAAGTGAAGGCATGCATGAAAAGTTGGAACAGTTTTTGTCTGAAGAACCTATTGCCACATTTCTTTTAATTTTTATTTCAGAAAAAGGCTTTTTTTCAACACTGACAGTTTATGAGCATACACTAGAAACACAACAGAACAAGCTGGAAGTGTTTTGAATGAAAGTCTTTTTTGATTATATGTATAGAAGTTCCAACAGCTCTTCAAACGGGTAACAACCAATGCTGAACCTCAAAAAAAAAATGTAGACCATTCAGCTCAGATAACCATCCAAAATTTAGTCTGCTTAACCAAAACTTGTCCAAACCTCTTTGGTCTGGAAATAGGACTGGAAATGTTACATGATCAGACTTTCTTATGAGTTTTCCAGCACTCATTTCCTTCTGCCAGCACAGAGATATCATGAGAACAACTTTCAGCATTATGTGTCTGCAATTAAGCTTGTGCTCCTGGCTGGGAAAAAAAAAAACAAAAAAAAAAAAAACTGTTAACCAAGCCTGTTATGAACTTGGAATGGATTTGATGTAAAGCTCTTATAATTATAAAGACCTAATAATTACATAGGACAGATGAACCATATACTCTTATGCAATGAAATACACATATTAATTCCTTAGCAAGGTTTTAAAGCCACTTCCTTTCCTCTTGTGGCACTAAACCCAGTTTCATTTTAAAACCTAACTTGAACCAAAATTGAGTTCACTTGTAAATGAAATGCAGGTTCCATCTAACAGTACAAAAACTGTTAATGCAACAGAATTGTTTCTACTTTTCCCTTCCAATGTCTTTTAGTGTATATTTCAATCTATATTCTGCACAGTCCTTTTTATGAAAACCAAAAAGGCAACATTTCAAAGGTCTCACTGTGAATGAAAGTAGAAGAATTGACCAGTGTTGGGAACATAAATTGAAAACAACTCACACAGTTGCTAGAGGTTTCATGCTGATCCATGTTGGACCGTGGGAAGTTCAGTATCATCTGCAGTTCGTTTCGTTTCTTCTACTCAGTGAAAAATAAAGGTGACACAAATCAACGCAGGTAACTTTAATCTATAAAGGCATGAAAATATAGCTTCAAAAATAGAAAACTAGATAGAAGAGATAATACTAAATCAGCGTGTAAGTATCTTTTAGTGTCAAGTAACTTTTCTGAGACAAAGACAGAAGAACAAAGTGTTAAAAAAGAGACTTTGCCCCTTACCCATCAGTTGGCCTTTCCCATACCTTTTGCATACCTTTTTCTGTTTGGCTTTCAAGGTTAATGAAAAGGGCTTCCACACATTGTTTGTGTAATGCTTTCAGTCCAAACGGGTTTTTCAGAGTGCCTTAGGACAGATTTTCCAAAAGTTGTGAGGATGAGTTTGGTGCCAGTTATGAAATAAACTGTAGCATAAAAATAATTTAAATCACCTTTACATTAAATTCCTTTGAAAATTGGAAGCCAAGTCTTACGCCATTTTTGTGTTTTGGAGCATTTTAACTGCCTTTTTTTTTTTTTTTCCTTATGTGTTTGTTTTCATTTGTTCAGCTCCAGGACTCCATCTCCATTTTCTTTGTTGCTTCATTTAAATTCTGTGTATTCCTAAGAATGCATGCCAGTTTTATTTGTACTTAGAGTAGGTCTCACCAGCTGTTCTGTGTTGCCCATAGCTTTCTGCAAAAGGGAAACATCAGGCATATTTTATAGCTTACTTTTTTTTTTTTTTTTCTTATTGTTGTTGCTACTGGTCTGAATAGTATTTGATAGACAAATGTTCTGACATTTGTCAGGAAAGGGATTTATCTTTTATTTCAACTGATTTCTGATGAAATTGCCCACAAAAGTAACCATGATATCAGTTAGGAAAACAACTCTGTTAAAATAGAGAAAATAAGATGAAGGAAGAGTCAGGCACTGAGAAATGCAGTTATTTCTCCAGATTTTCTCTCATCATTTAGTTTCTTTCTGGTTCTATCACACTGAAGACTGAGTTTTCTCTGAAGTGTTACTCATAGTATGCTGAGCCTTAAAAGCAGGATATCATCCCCAAAAGGACCATAGATCATTAAAAGAACTAATGATCCTAAGTAGTCTAAACACTCAGGATGTTATACTTCATGGAGCAAGGAATTACCCTGTCTAGCCATTTGCTGTACTCAAAATAAAATCACTGGGTTTGTGCTAATAGGATATCAAACCATGACTGCATTCTTCACTCCTCCACTATTCCCAAAAGGAGTCCATACACATATAGAGGAGAAAGGATAAGAATTCCCCAACATGCTTTCTCTGAAAATGAAACTTTTAAACTACTTGTAATAAACATTATCTGTTTTTCTCTTACACTCAATGTTTTTTAATTCTATGCAAAATATAACTGAAATCTTTGGTAGTAGTGAAAGGAAGTTTTTTCAGGCACAAATGTTGTGAATCACAAAATGGTTGAGGTCTGGAGATCATCTAGTCCAACCCCCTGGTGAAGAAGTGTCACCTAGAATGTAGGCTGGTTTCTGAGACTCCTCAGAAAAAAAAAAAACCTCATTTACGCCTAGGCCAAGCATGAGGCTAAGGCAGTATTGTATTAGTGAATTGGGTGCAGGTAAGACAAATAATGTAGACCTGCAAGTATGAGTATGTTAGTCTGAGGATCAATCCTAGATTTGTGGGGAAGGTGAACAATCCAAAGAGAGCACAGAGGTTGTTTTAAGATGTGTTAACCCAAATGCACCATGCATATGGGTGCTGTATGGAATTCTGTATGAAATTCAAGGTCATTAGACCAAATACCACAGGGAATGAAATTCTTGTAAAGACTCTCCAGCAGCTTTCCCTGACTGATATCTGATTGGAACTCTGATTGACCATGCCTGGAGGTGTGAATTTTCAGCTTCTACTTTAGAATCTGATCTTATGTTCCTTGTATACAATATTGCCATAGATAAGAACTCATTTTAACTACTGTTTTCTCCAAAATAATAATTGACAAGAAGTTACACGGGTTAGATTAAGTCTTTCTAAATCTTATTACAATGCCTATGGCAATCTTGAAAACCCAGGGAAAAAATGGGTGAAGGTTGTTTCAGAAAAGAGCAGTTGATGTGTGCTCAAAAATTACACCAGGCAGCAATAATAATTTCAAGGACGTTTTCCATTCTGGGAAAGTACATCAAAGAGCAAGGGTACCATTCTCTTCTGTCATTTCCTTCAATAACAAAGGAAGGGCTGACCCTAGATATGTAGATGATGTTAGTCAAAACGAAGAAAAAAAAAAACATTAATCAGGTCTGAATCTTGATAGAGCCCTTTTGCCAATTCTGTTCTCTAAATAAACTTTAAATAAGGGAATAGAGATTGGAAACTTTAACACAGAATGTGATCAGGTTAAAATACAACTGATTATAATGAAAACTGATTGCAGGCACAGAATTTCATACCTGAGTATAAACAGAGGATGTAAATAGTCTGCCAGACCCTAGTAAGAACCTCTTCTGAAAGATGAGATATGGGGGAAAAAAAGCAGGCACCTAAAGACCTAATGACGAGTTCATCATTGTACCTCCCAGTTCTGATGACTGCATGTTTAATGTCAGTAGAGTGATTCTCATTCTTAAAGGGATCATCACATTGTATCCTTGTATTGTCACCTTTGTTTGCATATACATTTCCCCACACTGTACTGCTTTTACTTTCCGTAAAGGAAAATCTGCCAGGTTTGACATGTCTGTTGTTCTCCGTGTATGTGACAACTATGTAGTGGATAATTTCATGGAAGTCCTCTAGGTAATGTTTGAACACTAAGACTACTTCCTCTTCAGCATGTTTACCACAAGATCTAAACATTTTTCATGATGTTACTGAAATAGGAGGAAAATAAATATATGATGTAGTTGCCAGTAATGTAAGTCTGTTGAATTCTAACACCCAGGAGTCCTTGCCAGGCCTAAAACCCCAATTCCTTGTTGCCACAGAAAAGAACAGTTATTATTATTATTCTGAATTCAATCTATATGGTTCATGGCAGAATATTTTCATGTAATCCCTTGCTTTGTGCTGAATCAGCATAAATACATACATCTATTTGAGACAAAGGGAAGAATGTTGCCTCTATGTTTTGGATGATGAGCCAGGTACAACCAGCAGTTTTTGTGAACTTTTTCCACTCACTAATATAGAAATTAAGAGCAGTGGAAGTAGAAAAGGGGAGGTTAAATAGTATTCCTTCCCAGGAACTGCAGTTTTCTAATTATGCTATTTTATTACATTGTTAGGTTGCAAGAGAGGACAGAGAACTTCACTAGGAAAAACATTGGAGGATCATTGAAAAAAACAACAACAACAAAACTTCTTTGCCTCAAAAGGGTATTTTGTTTAATTAATTTCTTTCTGTTAAGGATTTACATTATAGCATTTTTACCTTTTATGTCAGATTTGGTGACATGGGAAAAGGGTACCACTTAGAATCTACTCTGTAGTGTACAGAATATTGAAACTGTATAGCAGGATGAGACAGGCATTTGACTAAACCTGGCATTCTTAAATCCACCTCCAGTGTTATGAGTTATAAATAAAAGCTTCTGACACATTTCACAGACAAGCAGTTCTGAAGATAATAACTATGACAGTATGATCATTCAGTAGTTCCTGACATACTGCTTTAAATTTATAAATTAAGGTTTCTCGAGGAAGTATGAGTGAAGTTGGGTGGAGTTTATAGGACATGGTAGGTTACAGGCAGGGATGAAATGTCCAGTATTTGCATTGAGATACCAATGAGATACCCAGAGGGACTCCTCAAGGGAGGCATACGGAGAATGGATGAACAAATTTATTTCATTTACGTGAAGTCTGCTGCAGTATATATCTTAACAATTCTTCCCTCCCCTCTTCTGTCCTCTCCTCATCTTTTCATTTTTTAGACACTTTGCTAAGTGGCACACAGGATTTCAAAGAACTGGCCAATGCTGTCTGCACAGGTACAAATTCTCTCCAAATTCTCTCCTGTTCTTTAACTTTCCAAAGCTTCAAATTCAAAAATGCAAAATCTCAGTGCAAATAGAAACACAGGAAAAAATTATGTTTCTAGAGTGTTCCACAAGAGTTATAAACAAAAGAGGAACTTTTTTCACATGCATAAATCTAAATTGAAAACTGGGCAGCAATTCACTTCAGCATTTAAATCACCTCAGCCACCCTGCAGCTTTATTTCTTTTTCCATTCTTTGTTTTCATCTAATCCAACTTAGTGCTCACTAGGATAGAAGAGTATGAGGCATAGTAGAATGAGGTCATCATCTCAGTTTGGAGTTGTGGGAACTGCATGAATATTAATGATAATTGATAAGACCTTATTTTTACCTTTAAAGTTCAAACACTATGAAGGAAGGTCTGGCAATGATTTCCCTTTACTAATACAATGTAGTTTTTCTGATTATATTTTGCATTTTGACCAAGAAATCAGAATCCTTTTGTGATGTTTTACAAATGTGTAAAATACATCAATCAAAAGTAGACTCTGTTGCAGACATACTTTTTTCCTTTCATTATCTGGTTTATGTTTATTAGTGATGATAGTCTCCATATGAAGTATTTCCCACCAAGTGGCATTTTAATCCTTCAGTTATGTTCCTTGATCTTAGAATCAGACAGAGATGGAACTATTTTATTTTTTTTTCCTCAGAGGTTTTTGTTGATTAGGTATTTGGTTTTGTTCCAAATGAAGAAAGAGAATGAAAACTTTTGGAATATTCTACTAATGGGGACAGAGCTCTTGCACTGTTTTGGGAAGGACAACTGGTGATCTACAGACCATGAAAATCCAGGTTCCCAGCAGCCTGCTACATAGGCTGCCAACAAGCTGGATGAGGTAGCCAGCAAGAACCCGAGTTTTAAAACCTGCCTGGCAGTGAAGCTTGTATTGGAGCCTGCCTAGGATCTGTCAGAACGTCTTTGAAATTAAACTGTGTCTGTGAAAAGTTCTAAATTTGCCAAATCATCAAATTCCAATTAAACGCTATTCGGTAAGAATTTTTCCAACCTGCTGTAATTAAAAGGAAACTGAATTGCCACATCCACTGTTGTGCCTGTTCAAACTCCCAACTGTAGTTTTTGCCAGTGTTCCAGGTTGAAATGTTTTGTAGGCATGTATGTAGGTCCACAACACATTTCTGAATCCAGGAAGTTACTCTTTCCAGCCAGAAAAAAGAGTGGTGGGGGAGGGGGTAGGGGAGCAGCATCCATGGCCAGACTGTTTATAGTTCTTTCACCTCATGATTTTTCTTTGAGGAAGGTTTTTAGTAGAAGTATTTCTCTCTACACATTTTATTTCTAAGAGATATTGTGTCCTGATGAACAGTTTCAAAAAGGTCAGGCAAACTGTACTGTTCAGGCTGTCTAAAAAAGATTGCTCTTAAATGTTTCTTAAACTTGATATTCCCTGGAAGATTAACTGCCTTATAAATGACATTTTGACAGATTGTTTTAGCTATGAAGGGTTATGTGTATGTGCTGAATTTTAAAGCCTGCCTGTTAACTCTCAAAGCAAATTGAAATGAGTAATTTATTTTGCTGGTATTTGGTATGTTATGTCATTTCTGAAATATAGAGATCTTCACCTGGGGAATATAAAAGATACTGTAGAACCAACAGTGCTTAGAGCTCCACACACAGCCACACCCTTTTGACTGTGATATCAAAGGAAACTCCCAAAATACAAATACGGATTTTAAAAAGAAGTGCAGCACGTTGACATGATGAATTCTTTAGAAAATCTGCTTGTACATTTCAAAAGGCTGGTGGGTACCAGGCAGTTTGTAAATCACCTTCATTAGATACCTAATTGTAAGTGGAGTTTTTCTGATAAGTTTTTACATTGAACACTGACACTGGGATGACAAGATCCAAAAGAGATACATCGTCTTAATTAACTGACTGTATTTCCTAGACTGGAACTGATCTATTTCTTTACATATTTACTTCCTTGGCTCTGAAGCTGAGGAATGTCTTGTGTTAGAGCTCTGGCCAGGTGAAGGATCCCCATGTAAGGAATAGTCTATATCCAGTGTGTCTTTCTGCACTGAGAGCAGGACCTATGTAAACGCCTGTGGTTTCAGCTACCCCACTTCTCTTTACAGTGCGAGTTTTTTTGCTTGTGTGAGTGTTTGATCTTCACAGGTACAACAAAGTTTTTCTGGTGTAACCCTGGAAAGCCTGCTACTGCTCTACATCTAGAATAATAAAATAGGAAGAGGATGCTCAGCAAAAGCAGGAGGGTTACTGAAATTATTTATTTTATTTTTTTTCCACAAGTGATGACTTGTCATCTGTCAGGCTACAGGAAGAAGAGCCCCTTGAATAGGCTCAGGAACATTGTTTTCTGCTAGGAACAAGAGCGTTGATGTAAGGGAATACGTGGGTTTTTCAAACTTTAAGCATGCTTCAGTGGCATGTTTTTTAGAGGAAAAACTCATCTTGTTCTTTGTTTGTTTGTTTGTTTAGTTTGGTTTCTCTCTTATTCACTTCTTCTTGCACATGTGGCACTGTCAATAAGTTCTTTTGAGAGCCTCTTGCCTCACAAAATGTCCTGGAGATTATCCTGTGCCCGATGTAGTAACAGCCAGCTGACTGACAGGAACTACTAGTTCCAGATTATGCATCTGGTTAGTGGTGGCTGAGGAGTGCACAGCTGGTGTGCATGGGAAGGACTGGCCTGTATCCTAATTATTCAGTGAGAGAAAGAACCAGCCATTGGGATTCGCCCAAGCCTCACTTTATCCACGATGAGCTGTAATACTAACCATTTTTGAGTGAGTCACTACCAAAAACAGCTGGGAAATAGGCATTTCAGAGGTAAAGCTGGACTCACTGAATAGTCTGTGGTAATCCGGAGAGTCATTTGTAAATGGCTCTATATGGAACTACATGGATGCATTTTGCAAGTATTGGTGGTCATCCTGAGCTAAACAGTTTCTTTTCCATTCCCAAACATGATGGGCTGTCTATTCAGTATGTGTCTGAACAAAAACAGTAGAGAGTGAGTGTCATGACTTTATGTAGCTTCAGTGCATCTTCCTGACTGTGTTAAAGTATTGGTCTAGTATTTATGGCTAACCTGGCAGCTTTGGAAACATCTGACAGCTGTCTGATGGCCAGAGTACTTAGAATGGGAAAGCTCAGATTGCTCGCTCAGCCAAAAACAATAATGGGAAATAGATGACACTGCTGATGCCCACTTGAGTCTTCACTAACAGACCCTTTGAGATCCAAAATATATCGGATCAAGATTCTGTCCTGATAACGACTTGAGTGAAGTAAGAATCTTCTGAAAAATCACCACATAGTACTGGGCTGTTGTTTTGTGCAAGCTAAAGACAGATGATGAGGGATTGCTGGGCAATGTGATACAAATATTCACTGAATAAATGTGACTATTTAGCATTCTGGTTTTGCTGGTGAGTTGTATTTTTGAAGGCTCAATAAAAAGTAATCCAAATAAAAAGTGATAACACTGTGGAAGGCCCAAAGGAGATGACCTTCTCCCAACACAGTATGGTTTTCTGTAAAACTCAGATCCAGAGGAACCCATTTTGTTCATACGCAGCAGTGGTCATGTGAGCTGATTGCATTTCATGCAGTACTTTATATTATAAAAACAATATTTTGCCTTTTGCTGTATACTGAGGGCACTGAACTACTGCATACCAGGTACAATGGCATTTAGTTAGGATCATAATGATCTGTAATGGCTTTGTTCAGTTTCAGATTTGTATGCCTTTACTAACATTTCACACCCAGATTTGCAGGCATCTAGGAATTCTTTCTCAGAAAAGAATGCTATAGCACAGGTTTTGTTTCTTTAAGTAACTAATGCATGACAATGTTGAGTAAACAAGCCAATGAGACAAAGTGAAAAGGAGGTATGTTCCTGTTAAAAGCTAATTCTTAGCCTGTGTCATGTTGGTGGAGACCCTAGCCTGGAGATGAACTTTTCAGATTAGGAAAAAATGAGCTGATAGCAATCGCCCAAGGTGCACTGGTTGTGTCTTTCTTGTGTTTCAGGGGATTAGTTTGGCTAGGCTCATAGATTTTTATTTTTATTTTTTTTCCAAGAAAAAATTAAGGGCTCTTAGTAAGAATTCTGAGGTAAGTGCTGTCTGATGTTTTGTTAAACCCACTGCTTCAATGAGACATTAGAAGGAAAATATTTTGTTTTGTTGGTTTATGTTGGCTTTTCCTTTCTTGGATCTTTTACAGAGCTCTAAAGGGGAGTGTGTAGGATGGGCAGCATACCAGGTTTGCAGCCTGTACCTCCTCCAGTCCCAGAGAGTTCAGTTAGAAAAGGTTTAATATATCCTCCTGTGCATGCCTGGCAAAGGGTGAGAGAGAGAAAGGATGAGAGGTGAGACCTGTGTAGCAGAGAATTTGTTGACAATTAGACTCTCACTTAAAATCAGTTAGGACAAGACAGGAGCTCCGGTGCTTGTGACGATATGAGTCCATAGCAAGGCTGGGAAATGGGCTTTGTGCGGCATTTTTTCTCCTGGAAAGGGAATGTGGGTCCATGACACTTTGTAATATGATGAAGTTTCCTCTTTTATTGAGACTCTTCTAGTAGGGGCTTCCAATTTTCTTTGGCTTAATACATCTTAAAATTTTATTGGGTATGTTTATAAGATTAAAATAGCTTCTATGTATGGGGACAGAATAAAGGGAAAATCTTAATAGAGAAGTCACTTCCAGTTTTGATAGGAGATAAGACTTGAATTCCCTGTTGTGAAACTGCCCTTATGCTCTTGCCATGTGGCTTAGACACACTTTTGGACATGGCTTATTTCTTCTGGTTCAAATATGTGTTAAAAAATAGCAGAAGTCTTAAGCATTGAAAGAGATTCTCATTTTCCTGTGAATGGTCCACGTTATGTAAATGTCTATAAGCAGCTTTTATTTTGTTTATTTTGTGGATTAAACCTCAGCCTTAA